CCTACCTTAGCATGCTAGAGACATTTATAGGTCCCTCGAATATTTCTAGCTGCTAAGCATAAAGCAGCCTCTTTCATGCATAGGCTCCACGTTTTCATGATTTTCACTTTTCATAAACTATTCTGCATCTTTGCTGTCATTTAATCTCATTCCTTCAATAATTTCCTGTTCCTGACCATAAATATCTGCGAAACTTGAGGAAGAATGTCATCCCCTGTAACAAAACGGGTCAATGATCTTGATAAGGGTAGGTAAAATTTAAAATAAGACCTTACTTGAATAGTGAGTTCCTTTGCATCTGCTGGGATAGAGGAGACTATATCCAGGATGGTAACAATGGCACCTAGGTTTGCAGGGGAACTGTTTATTGTGTTTTGTTCCTTTCCCGTTTGTTCCTTAAGCTCTGCAAGGTAGTTAGGTAGGTTTGCTTTTGCCTCAGGACTGTTGACCAAGGTCTGGAACAGAAAATAACAGTACATCACACGTGTACAGTTTGCATGGAGCTTGATCTTGCCTCACCTTTTTTTCAGTAAAATAAATAGGGCCAGGGTTGTCCTAGACATACTGGTAGTGTTCAACTCTCAGACTCCTCAGAATAGGGTCTCTTAACTCTTTCTTGAGAGTAGTCTTTCATCTCTGCTAACTCACAAACCACTCCTGGAAATTATGGGGGAGAAAATAATTCACCTGTGCCCAAACCTTATGAGGGAGCAATCTAGTAAGTTAAGACAATACATAACTGAGCAGCTGTACCTCTGTCTGGGACTTTGCTATGCCTAATTTACTAAAATAAACATAGTAAGTATTTGATGAAAGAAAGATACTTGCTCCCATCTAGCCTTACAGAGAGAAGGGTGACTCTGGACATTTTTTTCAAAGTGAAGAGCACTATGATAGGACACCTAGACTGAAAATTGATGCCCAGCATCATCTGTGAGGTGTGGTGGCTGGGTGGGGCATGTCAGCCAGGGTCTGAAGTTGGTCAGCGGCCCAGTGTTGTCTCTACTCATCGCTGTTAGTGTACACCAGTGGCTGGGTGGGGCATGTCAGCCAGGGTCTGAAGTTGGTCAGCGGCCCAATGTTGTCTCTACTCATCCCTGTTAGGGTACACCGTAGCATGCGTTGGGCTTGTGCTAACTCCCGTTCACCGAGGCAATGCCCAAGCACGGTTCAGGGAACAGTTCCTGATGGATGCTCTGAGGAAGGTCACCTTGTCTGGGGAAGGAAGTGTTCATGTGTGTGGATATGAGCCACACAGTGGCCCTCTGGGCCAGAGAAGACACTTTCAACTGACTTGGGTAGATACGGCCAATCATTCTTTACATCTTTTAAAAGATTGTTTGAATCAAATGTTTGATTTTTTAATGCCTTATGCATTTTAGATAGAATCATGGAATCATAGAAACATAGAAACATAGAATCATAGAAACAAACAGAAATATAGAATCATAGAATCATAGAATCATAGAATCATAGAATCATAGAATCATAGAATCATAAAATCCTAGAATGGTTTCAGCTGGAAGAGACCTTCAAGATCATCAAGTTAAACCTTTTCCTAGCCCTGTGAACATCACTAAAATTATGTTAAGAGAAAGATTATATTAAGTAAAAAGAAACACTTGACAAAAGATTTTACTCTCTCCTCCTCCCCACTCCAGTCTCTAGAAAACTCAGAAGTGTTACCTCAGCACTAGTCAGCAGGTTGTTTATTGACACAGACAGGCAGTTGTTCCTTTCAACCTTCCATGAGTTGCCAGAGCACCTGTAAATTTTATTGCCTCGAGTAAAACCATTTGGAGTATTTAACTGAAGGCACGGCTTTATTAATTTGTTCTCTTCTTTTCCAATGCCAAAGTTATCTGAGCAGGAAACTTCCTTATCTGTATTGAGAAAAAGACATAGAGGTATAAGACTAAGAAGCAGGGAGATTAATAACTTACATCCATCAAATCGCTGACCTCCTGGAGTTCAGAGGTCTTTAAATTAATTGAGATTTCAGCCTAATCTTTTCATTAATGATGACCTTCCAGGGTGCATACATCTTGCATTCCAATTTTTTTTTTTAAATCATGGAATTAAAAAAAAAAAATTGAATAAAATCCCTTGGTTTTGAGTACTGTGTCAAATCAACAAAAGAATAGCCAAGTTTTAGGATTTTTCTGTTAAAATACAGGAATAGGTGGGAGTGGAATGAGTTTATATTTACCACTGTGTGAACAGTAATTCACACAGTTTATCCCATAAGGAGCTCCTGTGGTTCTATAGTGCTAACAGGAAATTCATTAAGACCTTGATAGTGAGGCCTCAACAGCTTTTTGATGAACAGTGACTCTTGTTAATTGTCCTTGATTGGGTTAGACACATCAGTAAGTACCTGCTGGTTAAAGTAAATAGTGTCTGCATATTTATTGCCTAAGAGAATGAAATCTGGCCAGATACAATGATTTAACAGGAGGTACCACTACTGTACAAAAAAACATTTCTGAATTATGAGGATGTCCAACATTTCTTTCTTTCCAATTTAGAAAAAGAAGCCAAAACATCCAAACTGGCCAGAACTTAACATCAACACCAAATTTAAGCAATAGTGAATTCTAATTACCCAGCATTTTCTGCAGAGCTGACTGGAAGCTGGGTCTGCCCAGGTCTCTGCAACACCTCATTGAGGTTGTTGTCATTCTTGTGTTTAGAGTGGGTCTGACCTCCCCCACACTGACCTCCTGAGCTAGATCACTTCTTCCTGAGGCACCACAATCTTTTATCCTTGCTAAATGGTTGGTGAAACCTGGGAGCTGCATGACCACGTTTCAACAGAGGAGACAAAGCTTGGTCACACAAGCTGCACCAGAAGGAAGTAGGGGCAGAGAGTGACTATAATATATAGTCACCCTATATATTGTAACACATAATAAATATATAATAAATAGCATATATAATACATATAGGGAACTATAAATGCCTGGGAACATACGGGAGTCACTGTCAAATAAAGTGAAGACAAAACATGTTGTCTTTTAAATTACAGCAAAATTGGCATTTTCCTCTGTATTCTGGAATTTCCTGTGAAAAAAAGAAGATAAAAATTCTTGGCTAATAAAATTGTTCCTGTTAAACGTCACCAATGATAAAATTGTGGCATCTGTTCTAACAAAGATACTGTGATTTCCTGTTTAACAGCTTAAAATAGTAACCTTTTTTCTTACCAGTTATCAGGTGCAGTCTTATAATTTCACTGTTCACTTCCTGTCCAATGCGGTTAGTAAACTTGCAATACGCTGTGCGCTCTTTATTTTCGCAGCATTCTGTTTCTGTGTAATTGTACGTGTAGCAGTACAAATTCCCCTTTCTCTTTCTCTCTGTACGGAAGGTTTAAGATAAGTTAACACAGATTTGTGGTCCATCAGCTAAAAGACAGCAGAAAGCTTCTGCAAAATCTCTTTTCTGTAGGTCCTAGAGAAATAAAAACCTTCTGTGGAAAAATTTCCTTTTCTGTATGTTGATCTCTGTCTCTTAACCCCCATTTAATAATTCTTCTGGCAGCTGCTCTGTGATCAGTACCTTTTCAGCTACTGATGGATGAGCAAGTCCTGCCCAAACTCTCTTTTACTGTGCTTTAGAAACGGTTTTGGAGAAAACCCCACAGGTGTTTCATTTAGGCTAGGATACTTTTCTGCTGGTTTTATAAGGTTCTTCTGAACTCAGGGTCTGTACCATGCTCCCATTCTTTTCAGTATCCCTGTACCCGAGGGTCTTCTTTGCTTTCTTCATATTAACTGTTTTGTAACCCACTTGAAGACTTCTAGCATATAAAAACATGCCAAGGAAGTTACAAATCTGTTCTGAACTTGAAAATATGGAAGCTTAGGCTTTTGTGCTGTTAAAGATACGTTGCTTGTATCCTTGATGAAAATAAAATAGTTCTTTGAATTGTATTGTTATATATTTTTCATTAACTAGTAGTTTGTCTTCTTAAGTGACAAAGTGGAAGATAAAAGCCAATAAATGGAGTTCAGCAATTCCTAATCGGAACAATGTTGAGGATGCTCACTTCTCACTGCCTGGCAAGGCAAATCAAACACTGAATTGTAGAATCACAGAATGACAGAACCTTTTGGGGTGGAAAGTACCTTTAACGATCATCTAGTCCAACCCCCCTGCAGTGAGCAGGGACATCCTCAACTAGATCAGATTGCTCAGAGCCCCATCCAGCCTGACCTTGAATGTTTCCAGGGATTGGGCTTCCACCACCTCTCCGGGCAGCCTGTGCCAATGTCTCACCACCTCCATCATAAAAAATGTCTTCCTTATATCGAGTATCAATCTACCCTCTTAGTTTAAAACCATTACCTCTTGTACTGTTGCAATAGGTCTTGGTAAAAAGATTGTCCCCTTCTTTCTTATAGGCCCCCTTTAAGCACTGACAGGCAGCTACAAGGTCTCCCCAGAGCCTCATCTTTTCTAGGCTGAATAACCCCAATGCTCTCAGCCTTTCTTCATAGGAGAGGTGCTCCAGTCCTCTGATCATTTTTGTTGTCCTCCTCTGGACCAGCTCCAATAGGTCCATGTCTTTCCTGTGTTGAATTTACTTATTATGTATTTATGACTACAGCAGTTACTTGAGTTTCTTTCCTGTTAGTCTCAGCCATGCTCCTCAGGCTTAACAACTATCCTTAAAAAGTGGGTTTTTTACACCTGTGGCTTGTCAAAATAGCAGTAAATATGAATTGGTTACATGGATGTAACAGAAAACAAAATCCCCAGGGATTGTGTTCTGACACATAGTGCAACTAGTGATTCTCAAGTTTATTTTTTCTTACCAGCTTGAAATTGATTTTGTTGGACTACGAATGTAACAGCATAATCTTCCACAGTGTTGGCACTTATGCAGCACGCAAGGGTTTGTGGCACTTCGTACTGCACAGATGCTGCAATGGGATCGATCAAGATGTTCTGCTTCAGAGGCAGGGCAACAACCTCGACTGTAACATTGGCAGAACTCTCCAAGTACTTCTGGGAGAAGGTGCAGATGTAGATGCCTTAAAGAAGCGACACAAACACTATGTCTCAGTCAACAGAAGTGCTCCTCAACTTTTACATGGTCATGAGCCTTAATACTGAGCATACAGGGCTATTGGCAGCATCATGTTATTCTGTCCTCCAGCAGTTATGATTTTAACTCCTTTTTAAATTTACTGTGGCCAGGCTTTGTAGTGATTTGCAGGACCAGGGATGCTCTGAATAATCTGGTACAGAGATTTCATTGCCAATGAAATAAGCAATGCAAACCAGGTTCACTCACCGCTCCAGTCCTTTGTGGCAGTCTTCACTGTAAGCACAGATGTGGCTGGGAACTTGCTATTTTCGATGCACGTATCACAGTTTACTGTTTTTGTGTTATTTCCAGACTGTATTTTCCAGCTGATACTGTCATAATTGCTCACATCACTTTCACACGTTATATTGAATGCATGTCCCTCGGAAATCGATGAGTTTATGCTTGAAGATATTGTTACACGGGCTGAGACAACGGAAGATAAATGTCGTATTATTGAGGGTCACATATTGTAAACGTTTGCTTGCAAATGGCGTGTGCTACAGAGGCCATCTACATGTTAAAGAGTTAATGGTCCATTGCATGGTGACTCTTACCTGTCCGGAGGTACGTCACTCTGATATTTTGACTGCGCTTGGCCCCATATCCAGTCTGCAGCTCACATGTATATGTCGTCACCGTACCCGACTTCTCAGGTGGGCATAGTGATTCACTGATGTTGAGCTTGTATTCAGTGCAGTATTTACTGAAACTGGAGACTCCTAGAGAGAAATAAACATTTCTTGTCGATGGATGTCCAAAAACACCTGGGGTCTGGAAACCACGAGCAATCGCTCTAGCTAAGTAAAACCTTGTGGATTTGTACATAATCTTCAATGGCATGGCACCTTTAACTCATCACTGCTGAAGTTCCTTCACAGCTTTTACTCATTGCCTGGATACCTCAGGATAAGGCAAAAAGAGTATGCTGGTTCATCCTAACCTCATTATCTGTGATATCTAGGATGAGTAAGATAAGTAAATCAGGAGTAAATACTGCAGATTTTAACGTCATCTTGTTTTGAAATAGACATTTTGGGGGACTTGACAGTCATTCAACTTTAAATCTGCAGAATGTTGGTTTAGCTACAAGGGAAAAACACCACTACAGCTGTCTCATGCTGCAGCCGAAAGTGCATCTGGCAGGAGCGCAGAGTTCCTGGGGTAAAGCCTGACCATGGGGAATCAATAGCAAAACAGCTCATTAGAGTAGGCGAGGATCATCCCTCTCTCTGCAAGCACTGCTGCGCACCAGGACCTGTCCTCTGGGGAAATGACAATGAACATGAGCTTTGAAGGTTGTCTTTCATTTGCTGTCCTACTTTCTGCTGGATTTCATTTATAACAAACAGTTAATCCACATCCGTGAAATACTAAGAGGGCAAGAGGCTGTTTATGACTATGGTTCGTAGATGTTTATGAGCATTTCTGTTGATGTTATTCTGTAATTCTTTGTAACACATTTACTTGGTGCTTTATTAACTCTTTATATTCATATTATAAGTGACGCTTAGTGGGATGCCACTGGCTCAAACGGCATATGACGTATCACAACTTCAGGTGGAGAGGGAAGCTGCACTCAGTATTTAACTACATTGCAGCAGTTTCAAACTGTAACACTTGCCTCTCTTGGTTGCCAAATCATGGTATATGGTGCACAGAAGCTTTTCATACCCCAAGGGTGATTCTGGAGATGGTAGTAGAGACTGTTGCACTCTGCTTTCAAAACTAGACACTGTAGAAATAAGCTTTTTGGAAGAAGTCAGTATGATACTGGGCCAGGCAGCTGTTACCATCCAGGTTGGCACAGTTTTAAGCATCAATGTCTCCACAGCGTATGGAGATGCCCAGAGTCCAACTGGCACCTGCACAGCACATACGGAGTTTGCACCATGCTGTCGGTCCCTCATCCTTCTCCCCACACTCACCTTTGGAGCATACCCTGTATTCACCCTTTTGGGTAGCCAGCTAAGAGAAGATCTCTGAAGAATGAACAAACTTAACAGGTGAAAGACAATCTTTTGTGAACCTTACCTGTAATATTGATTGCTCCATTTACTTTCCAGTCAACAGTAAGTGATGGTAAGAGTCTGTTAATACAACAGGACAGCACAGGACTGTTTGTCTGCATTTCAGGACTGTTGCATGTCACATTGATGTCCTTTACGTTTGGAGTGATGTATAGCGGAGAGACTTTTACAGTTTTTGTGGCCTTGTATATCCGTGTCAGTGAGTTGTGCCTGTTTCTGAACGTGCACGTATAGGGACCTGCGAAGCATAGGAAATATCTTAACATGAAGAACATGTTTTGCTGTTTTGTTCCCCTACATTTGGAGTTAGGAGCTGGGAGCTACTTCCATCCCTAGTTTTTACATCTCCCTACTCTGCAGTGGCTCTGCCGCTTGCTGATCAAAATGTACGCTCAGGTCAGCAGGTCTGCAGGCTTTCTGCAGACTCGTAATACCAAATATATCCAGATCAGGCAGCTTCACTGTTAATGGGTACTTGAGGAGAGACCAGAACTCTGGGACTGAAATACTTAAATTCTGGCTGAGCTATTATTTGGGGATCTGCACAATGGATTGAAGACACCAAGGCTCAGGGCATCCTTGGCCCAAAGATGTTTGGACTCACATCTCCTACCTTGTACATATGTGCCTAAATGCCTAGCCACAGGCTACCCTTTTTGAAGTTGAATGTTAAAATTCACAGTCCAAAGAGAAGAACTGAGTGGGAGTCAAAGCTCATGATAATTTCCTTGATAACTCCTCTCAGTAAAATGCAACCAATTTACCCGTCTTTGATTTTCAGAAAGCCTGAAAAATGAGCACATGAAAACCTGTAAATCTGAGCTCTAATTGGTTAGGTTATGTTTCCAAAGAGGGGGAACGGCTGTCAAGGACAAATTCAACCACAGCCTCAAGTTACTACAACAAAATTGTGGGAATGCCCTATCACCATGTAGTCAGCACTGCCTCCTCTAATATGTCATTGAAACCCGGCACTGAGACTGTAGTCTCACCCCAGTTAGTTCACATCTTACTGGCAATGCCAGTCACTGCATAGGTCAGTAAAGAAAAAAGGAATATGAGGGGTAGTGTACTTCTCACAGGAAAAAGCACACTGCATTCCTCTCTACTTCTCACAGTTAGCCACACTAGAGATTTACATCTGCTGTTTTAACAATAGAAAATCATACCAGAATGCTTCATTGTAATGTTGTTCATTTGGAGAATCGACTCTGAGGCCCTTCTTGAAGCTTTTCTCTGTATCAAATACTGGGAGTTGTTTAGGATGATCCGATCAAAGTGATACCAGATCACTTTCTCAGATGTTGAATTTACATCACAAGTCAGTCTTATTGTATCCCCTTCAGAAATGTCTGCAGGACTCACGACGAAGTTTGTCTGATCTGGAAATACAAAGAGCAACATTCTGAATTACTGTCATTTCAGCTCATGTCTCTATGGTGTCTTTCATCTCGTGGGAATCCTAGGTTCTTCACAACTAAGACGCACTCAGCACTAGCTGCAGAGCACTTCCTCTGATACAAATCACACAATTCTGCTACAACATACAGGGTCGGGCCAGTCCCAGGCACAAATATAATCTGGGTGCAGACTGGGTTGAGAGTAGCCCTGAAGAGAAGGACTTGGGGGTGTTGATAGACGAGAAGCTCAACATGAGCCGGCAGGGCGCTCATGCAGCCCGGAAGGCCAACCCTGTCCTGGGATGTATCAAGAGAAGCGTGGTCAGCAGGTCAAGAGAGGTGATTCTCTCCCTTTGCTCTGCTCCTGTGAGACGTCACCTCAATTCCTGAGTCCAGTTCTGGTGTCTCCACCACAAAAGGGATGTAGATCTGTTGAAATAATTTCAGAGGAGGCCACAAAGATGATCCAGGGGCTGGAGAACCTCAGCTACGAGGTTGGGCTGCGTAAGCTGGGATTATTCAGGCTGGAGAAGAAAAGACTCTGGGGGAACCAAATAGCTGCCTTCCAATACCTGAAGGGGACCTACAGGATGGCTGGGGAGGGACTTTTTACAAAAGTGTCCACTGATAGGACAAGGGGAAATGGGTCTAAGGTAAAGGAGAATAGATTCAGATTGGATCTTAGGAAGAAATTCTTCAGTACAATGGTGGCAAGGCTTTGGAATAAATTTCCCAGAGATGTTGTGGATGACCCCTCCCTGGAGGTGTTCAAGGCCAGGTTGGATGAGACCTTGAGCAACCTGATCTAGTTGAGAGGTGTCCCTGCCCATGACAGGGAGGTTGGATTAGATGATCTCTAAGGTCCCTTCCAACCTAGGCCATTCTACGATTCTATGAACATCTGCTGTCTGTGTGAGCCAAAGATCCCAGAAGGTTTTATGCACAGAGCCAGAAATATTACTGCCACCACCACTTTCGAGGTAGATAAACTGGGAGGAGAAGCAGTCGTGTTAAAGTAATCCTCTGAGACAGACAGTCCAGTGCTCAGAGCATAGTACCTCTGGGGCACTTGGTCAAGCAACTGAGTTGCCATACACTGTCCAGGAGCAGCATGGAAAAATGTGTCAAAGGAGCCCCGGGTTCTCATGCAAACTGCAAGAGCTTTCTATTTGGTTTGAAGAAGTGGCAAGTTGTGGTGGCCTCACATGCTAAAAGTTGTCTGACTACTGGAGGGTACTTTAGGTGTGTTCAATCTCCCAAAGACAAACTGCATCAAGGTTTGGTGGAGTAGCTGGAAGGATTTGATTTCTGTGGGAGGTACTGTGTGCATGATCATCTCACATAAGTTACAAGATTTTATGGCACAGGGTAAAATGAAACAGCCAGAGAGACAAATGTTTTTTGAATGTCCAGTACCAAATAAGAGTATAAGGCTAGAAATACTTAAGTAAAGGTTGAGGGAAAATACTGAGACAACTTTCAACTTACTAGTTTTTGTTTCTGTGAAGGTATCTCGGATTAGCCAGTACGATGCATTTAGAAATTGTGGTACCAATCTGTTGGAACTTGCTATTTGATTGACGCTTGCTGCTCCTGCTTTTACTTCATAGTTCACATAAATACTTCCAGGCCTAAACAGACACAAGAATGAGAGAAGCACTAGGGTTAAGTAACTTTGAATATTAATGGTTTTCTGTGTTGCGGTGACTCATCTTACATGGCTAGGAAGGCTTCACAGGACTCACCTTGTGAAGGCTCCTGTTGTGACTCAAGGCTGGTTGTGGTATACAAGAAGGCTGTGTTACAGCTCTTCCCAAAGTATGAACAACTTTAAGTGACATTCCCTGGTCTGCTGTTTATTTCTAGTAAACTCGCCCTAGAAAACCTAAAATACAGCTGCATTTAACTATGTGTGGACATGTTCAAGGCCAAGTTGGACGGAGCCTTGAGTAGCCTGATCTAGTTGAGAGGCGTCCCTGCCCATGACAGGGAGGTTGCACTAGATAATCTCTAAGGTCCCTTCCAGTCTGGGCCAGTCTATGATTTTATGAGTCTATATCCAGAGCCAATGTACTAGGTCATTCTCCTGACGATCTAGGAAAAGATGTTAAGTTTATTCGCATCCTTTTCCTCTTTTGGGTGGAATTCAGTCTTTCCCACAAAAGGCTTTGATCCAGCTGGAGAATGATTGCAGTTCTTGGACTTTTGCACAGTAATGAATTTTACCCATACTCCTATTTCTATTCTAATAGTTGGGCTTTATTTTGTAGCTATTATGCTGTTATTTGGTATGTATACACTGGGCATGGATTCTAGACAGAGCAGATGTCGTCTTTGCTGACTGGTGTCTCCTTGAGACTAGACAGAAAGATTTGTGTCTTTCAGGAAAAAATGAAATTGTTTGCTTACCTGAAACCAGTTACTGTTGCCGATACAAAGCCTGGTAAACATCTGTAGCTAGCACTGAACTGTAAACAAAGACATATTACATTACATAAGACCTCTGCATATTACTCACCTTTCAACATTGATGTGAGTAAGGGCATGTATCACAGAATCACAGAATGTCAGCGGTTGGAAGAGACCTCGAAAGGTCATCTAGTCCAGCCCCCCTGCCAGAGCAGGATCACCTACAGTAGGTCACACAGGAACGTGTCCAGGAGGGTTTTGAATGTCTCCAGAGAAGGAGACTCCACAACCTCCCTTGGCAGCCTATGCCAGGGCTCCGTCACCCTCACAGTAAATGAGTGCTTCCTTGTGTTTAGATGGAACTTCCTATGTTCAAGTTTATGCCCGTTACCTTTGTTCCATCACTGGGCAACACTGAAAAAGACTGGCCCCATCCTCCTGACACCCACCTGTTAAGGATTTATAAACACTGATAAGATTTCCCTTCAGTCTTCTATTCTGCAGACTAAAAAACTCCAAGTCACTCAGCCTTTATTCCTAAGCGAGTTGTTCTAGTCCTCTAATCGTCTTCGTAGCCCTTTGTTGTATCCTCTCCAGCAGTTCCCTGTCCTTCTTGAACCGGGGAGCCCAGAACTGGACCCGGTACTCCAGATGCAGCCTCACCAGGGCAGAGTAGAGAGGGAGAATACTGTCATTGCTTCTCAAGGGATTCAGCTTTGGCCCACTTTATAGCTGCCACTGCTGCATGCTTTGCAGCTCTTCACAAAGACAGTAGCAGTATATCCTATTTCCCAGACAATTAGGGTAAATGTCATATTTCTTAGAGGGGTTTCTATCTTAAGAGATGGAAAACTAAAGTCATTACCGCTTTTTCAAGGTCAGCCTTGTATCTTTTGTATAATTCAGAAGAGGAATTCTTGAGATCATCCTGAAAGTCTTTGTCAAGTCTGACTGACATATTCATGACGGTGGGCTCTCCCATACCACATGACTCTGCAAGGAAAAACATAAAAAAGATGTAAAAATAATAAAAAGTAATGCTTACAAGGTGATTTCTTACTTTTTTCTTCTAACTTAATCATAGAACCATTGAACGGTTTAGGATGGAAGTGACCTTAAAAATCACCTAGTTCCAACCCCCTCACCATAGGCAGGAAAACCTCCCACTAGATCAGGTTTCTCAAAGCCCCATCCAACCTGGCCTTGAACACTTCCAGGGAGGAGGCATTCACAACTTCTCAGGGCAATTTGTTCCAATGCCTCACCACCCTCACAGCAAAGAATTTTTTACTAATATCTAATCTAAATCTACCCTCTTTCAGTTTAAAACCATTGCCCCTTGTTCTGTCACTACAAGCTCTGGTTAAAATTTTTTCTTTGTCTTGCCTATAAGCCTCCTTTAAGTATTGGAAAGATGCTATAAGGTCTCCCAGGAACTTTCTCTTCTCCAGGCTGAATAACACCAACTGGGTTGTTTTTTTAAAAGAGAGGTGTTCTAGTGCTCTGGTCACCTTCACAGCCCTCCTCTGAACTTACTCCAACAGATCCATGTCTTTCGTATGCTGAACTGGACTCAGTACTGCAGATGTGATCTCACCAGAGCAGAGTAGAGGGGGAGAACCACTTCCCTCGACCTGCTGGCCACACTTCTTGCTATGCAGCCCAGGATGCCATTGGCAGTACTGATATGGGGCTATCCTGAGATGAAGGCATTGCCTATAGGCAAGAGCTGGTTAGAATAGGCTTGCTGAGAGCAGTGGATTACTTCCAGCTCTAGGCTGCCTCTGGGTATCTCTCCATGCTGCGTCTACAAGAGTCAGAGCCTCATAAGGGTTTGTCTTGGATTGCAGAGACAACAGGCAGTGACCCACCCCAGGGCTGCTGACCCTATGTGTCTAGTCATCAGTCAGGTTCCTAAAAACTCATGGACACCTTGCCATGAAAGTCATGAAAACAAACCAAACAAAAGATTGCATGAAAGAGTTTTTTTGTTCCATCTCTTTTCTGGAGCACTATAGCATACTTGGTCACATTTGTAATTCGTGTAACTCACATTTCCAAGTTTTTCTGCTGAAAATCTGATTAGCTGAAACTTTCTTTGCTCAGTGGAAGCTGAAACTCCCAAAGAGGCATGTGAGTGATTCCAGGAGTTATGATACACTATGGCACTAAGCAACTGCAAGTACTTGAGCCAAGATGGACCCACTTTACAAAGAGAAGAGTTCTAGACTATGTTCTACACCTATGGGTTGTACAATGATGAAGTCCAGCACCGTTTCTCCTTACCTTCAGTCTGAGGCTCACAGTAAGGTCCGTAGAAAGGCATTTCCTTCACGTAGCCACAGGGCAGGTCAGCTGCCAGGCTGACAGAAGGGCAGGTTATCAAGTAACTGCATTCTGTACTTGGCCAGGCATATCCACTTTCACAAGAACAACAGCTTTTGTTCTCACCACCAGGCAGACAGACTAATGTCAGACAGACAGAGAAATCCTATGAGAATGGTAAATGAGGCATCACATATTGCATGATACATATTTGCCCTTTTATATCTTTGTACCAACTCAATGTTTCCCTTCTTAGCTCACTTGAATGATGCAAACATGGTGATCTCACACCTTGCAAATTTTACTGTACTGATTATAAGTGACTAACCAGAAATGGGAACCAGACAGGTACAGAGATAAATCTGATCAGTTACTTTTAAGTATTTACTTTTAAATAATTGAACAGAAATGTGAAGGCTGATCCTAAAAATTAACCTGGTAGCATCCTATGATAGTTTTTAGATTGGACATTTCTGTATTGCTTGGGCTGAAAGAAAATGTATAGGCTTTTAAATATTTAAAGAATATGTAATGGCCATTCAAAGTCCCAGTGGCTAGTGAGGCGCTGTGTCATTCTGACTGTAACCTGACAGTTGCTGCGTGAGAGAAAGTAACATTATCACAAAGTGCTTTAAAGACATTCTTTTGAATAAAAATAAATAAAATAATAAAAAGTAAAACCACTTCCCTGTAAGTTTTTCTGCTTTCAGTGTGCCACTGGCAAATCAATATATTACCAAAGTGATTTTCACACATTGAATGTGACCCTGAAGGACTTTAAAAGACCCATTTGCATGTTGTTTTGAGACCTGATGAATGCTTCCTTTCTCTGCTTTATGGGCCACTGATAAGAAAGTACTGAATTTTCCCCTCTGATGGTGTAAATGCTTGGTGTGCTTGTATATCCTCAGCTGCATTAGTTACTTGGATATGATGTTGCACAAGCACAACCCAGGTAATAAAACCTGTCTGATATTTTGCCCTGTAAGAATACTTTTAGTGAGTTTTCTCAGGAAAGTACTCTATCTCATGCAGCCTGTCTCTATCAGGTCAGAGTACAGCCTCTTACAGCGATTTTCGTTCCAAATACAAGTGGAGGGAAGTAAACAGTCTGATAACCGCTGTCAAAGCTTCCTGAAACTTGAAAGTAACTCAGGCTTCTTGGTAGATACACTGGAGCAAAATCCTTTGGCTCAGGCTTCCTCTGGCTTTGCCTCTTCCTTAGGAAAAGAAAAGCATTCAGAGCTATTCCTAATGCCAACATTATGTAAAAGAGGAGTGTTTGGATGCAGATAACAAAACATGTTGTCGTGTGCTAGAGCTTCAGTCTTGTTGGGTCTTTCAGTAGGCAGCAGCGACAGTTGTGTTTTGCTCATCTCTCAGTGTAAAACTGGCAGAGATGAAATGTTGGCAAAAAAGCACGTCACTCAAAATATAAAAATAAATAATCAACACACCTGTTGTAATGTTGATGTTTGAAATCGTCATTTCTACTTTTGAAATATTTGTTGACACTGGAAGATGAAGCTTTTTGTAATACTCTTTGATTGGCTCCAGAAAAGCAGAATCTGTAAGGCTTATTTCAATGTCAACGGTGTACTCCAGAGCAGGAAGGTCAAAAGTCAGCACTGAAAGAGAAATAGCATGAGACTGCAAAGCTGCATGTGAGGGTGAATCATAAATTGACGGCTTCTGTTTTGGCATTTGAGCTCTGTTGCTATTTAATGATAACTTAGCATGGCATTCTCCCTAGGAAATCTTCTTGATACCTACTCAGCAAATGTTCTGCATGTGTTTTATCTGTGGCTTCTCTGACAAAAGCCAGATTTCTTTGGTCACGGAGCAATAGGAAAGTGATATAAATACATACAGAGAAAAGCTGTCTCATACTTCCTCTCTTTTGACTCATTGACTGGATAAGTTGTCAACTGCAGACTGAACATACAGAATTATCTTGTGACCCCTGCTCTGCTAAGAGGCTTGAGTATTTTTCTACAACATGTATTTCATCTGGGACTGTTCAGCCTTGAAGGAAGACATCTGAGAGGGGACTTATTAAAGCATATAAATATCTGAGGGGTGGGTGTCAAGAGGAAGGGGATAATCTCTTCTCAGTGGTGCCCAGTGATAGAACAAGAAATAATGGGTTTAAGTTAGAACATAGGAATTTCCACCTCAACATGAGGAGAAACTTCTTTACTGGGAGGGTGATGGAGCCCTGGCACAGGCTGTCCAGAGAAGGTGTGGAGTCTCCTGCTCTGGAGACTTTCAAACCCTGCCTGGATGCACTCCAGTGTGGTTGCCCTAGGGGATCCTCCTCTGGCAGGGGTGTTGGACTGGATGATCTTTCAAGGTGCCTTCCAATCCCTAACATTATATGATTCTGTGATTCATCTTGCATAGAAACTCTACTCGTATATGTCAATGTCTGACCAGACAGAAGTTTCCACCTCTTTTGTTTGTGTCTTTACTACTGTACTGTTTTTCAGCTGAGGCAGAGACAAATTTCTTCATAGCAGCTTGTATGGGGTTGTGTTTTGGATTTGTGATGAAAACAGTGTTGATAATGCAAGTTTTAGTTATTGCTGAGCAGTGCATACACAGCATCAAGGCTTTCTCTTTTTCCCACTCTGTCCTCCCAGCAAGGAGGCTTGTGGTGCACAAGAATCTGGAAGAAGACACAACCAGGACAGATGACCTCAACTGACCAATATGATGTCACACATCGCATGACCTGGAGCATGATGTCCACACCATACAATGTCATGCTGAGCAATAAAATCTGGGAGAAGAATGAAAGAGAAGACAGTTGGAGTGATGGTATTTGCCTTTCCAAGTAAGAGTTACACCTGATGGGGCCCCGCTTTCCTAGAGATGGTTGAACACCTGCCTGTCAATGGGAAGTAGTGAATGAATTCCTTGGTTTGCTTTACTGATTAAACTGTCTGTATCTCTACTCATGAGTTTTCTCACTTTTATCCTTCTGATTTTGACACCCATCCCATGGGGGGAGAATGAAAGAGTGGCTGGGTGGTGCTTAACTGCTGGCTGGAGTTAAATCACAACGACTATTCCCTATCGATGATCACCTCAAGAGATGCTGCCCCCAATAAGGATTTAACCTTAGCTTTCTGGAAACATGCTCTGTTACCATTCATTTGTGTACGTACTGTTTCGCTTCTGCCTTTGCATCTCTGTCTGGAAGATTTCCTCTCCTAGCTCACTGTCAATCTGTGGGAAAAAGAGAGTGAAGCTCTGTGAAGAAACAAAGAAAAGCTTTGCTGCTGCTGTTGGCATGAAACAATTCACGACTACTGACATAGATAATTTTTTTCCTTCCATCAAACTTTATCCCTCCCTGCCTCCTCTTCTTCTAAATAGAATATTTATATCTTCCAAGCAGTGAAATGTTAAACACAAGCTGAGGGTTGTACTGAGTTTTCAGGTGTCTCTTTGCAAATCTATGCAAGGCAATTGTCTCAGCGTAGCAGAAATTCTGTGTCTGAGCTGCAAACGGACTATGGGGCTGCTGTGGAGCTCTCAGATCTGGAGCAGCCTTTCTTGGTAGACCTGGCCAGTCAGCCTCTGAATCAAGAAAATAGACTCATATTAACCTTTGCTTTCCTCTTTGCTCTGAGCTTCCAGCTCTGCAGTTGCAAAACTAGCTTGAATAGTAGTAGAAAGGGGGTTTAAATCTCTTGGCTCCAGCTCAGGTGTCAGGCCAGCTACTCTGAGAGCTATCAGTAGCACACAGCTGACCAGGGCAGTGGTGGCACAATTTCAGTGTGACTCGGTTCACAGAGGGTGCAGCCAAGTGAGATGTCGACCATCTTATTTTTACAATCATGCCCTAAAAATACATTGGCACCACAGTTACCAAGAAAGGCTAAAGAACAAGTAAAGACGCAGGCAGGAAATTTGCTGCTTTGCCAGTTTCTTGATTCCTAGTGGAATCTTTATTTACAGAAAGGGTGAATAGCTTGGCAACCCTTAAGTCATCTCTTTATGTAAAGGAACCATCTGGTGTGTGATTAGAGCTGGGCTTCATGTTGCAGCTGTGCTGGCAGTGAAGATCCTAATGCACATTGGCATTTTTTTTCACTGCTAGGGGTGATACCTTTCACCTTAGGAGTTAGCTACAAAAGTCACAGAAAGCCCACTGTGATCCACTTCCTCCCCCAAGTTTGATCTCAGTGTTTTCCGTTTTTTTTAAATTTTTTGTATTATTTTTTTCCTCCCAAACAACTAAAGGGTACTGCTATGTCATTAAATATTTGGCATATTTCACACCATTGAGTGATGATTCATTTGCACGATCAACTATGTATCAAAGATGTTAAAAAATGAAGTGTCACTCTTCTCACGAAAATGCCTAGATGCTGAGCTGGAAACAGTTTGAAAAAAATACAACAGATGAGATATTTGATTTCTATTTGACATCTGCTGAAGGGCAGACAGGGCTGCTGGAACCAGATCTGTCTTGGTTTGCCAAGACAGGGGATGGTGGCAGAAATCACTTAAGGAGTTCCCACCTTCCTCTCCATTTCTTCTTGCTTTTTTTTTTCAACCTGCTTAAAAACCACATTGTGTTCTGGTCTGTCCATCAGAATTAAAGTCCCTGTGGTTCTAGGGGCTGAACATAGATGTTAGAATATATTTTGGCTTTATAGGGCTAATAATGTAGAAGAAAAAAGAAGTATTTTCTGGTCTAATAATAACTGTGATAGACCAAGTGTTGGTAGATTTGTAGACTACTTTTTATTTACCACACTGTAAACTTCCATTTGGTCACTCCCTTTGTTACTCTGTTCCTCTTGCCCTTTCTAGTTACAGACTCTTTGTGCAGAAACTGTCTCTTACCAAACTCATATACAGAACAAAGCACAAAACAGCATTCCGTAAATCATACCATTGATAAAGCAAAAAAGGTATGTGAGAATTATTGAAAATATGGGAAATCAAAGTAGACTCTGAGTCCAAGCACAACATCTAGACACAAGTCACTCAGGAGTGGCATTTTAGTCATGTGTACTCACATTCTACCATCAAGACAGTGGTGACACTCCTGTCACCTGCCTGTAAGCACCTCCGTGCCTAGGTTTTGCTGATTTTGGCATTGGGATGCACTGCCCAGGGAAGTGGTGGAGTCACCATCCCTGGAGGTGTCTAAGGAGAGGCTGGATATGGCACTTGTGCTGTGGTCTGGCCGATGTGGTGGTGTTGGGCCATAGGCTGGACTTGATGACCTCAGAGGTCTTTTCCAGCCTCAACACTTCTGTGATTCTGTGATTTTTGTGGTTTCTCTCTCATAGGATAGGTGAATCTCATCTAGAAACACTGCCCATGTAACTGCTCCAGGCACAGCAATTCAAATCCCTTACAGTCTAACACAAGTGAGAAACCAGCAGCTTTACTCAATTCCTTCAAGCTTTAAGACTGAGAAGCAAGAAGAACCCAGTTCCTGGATTTCTCCATCTCTTCTACACACTGGGGAGACTCTGGGTTCAGTATTCCTATCTGATCTTCCTTCCCTGCTGACTTCCTCTAATGTTTTGTGGGTATAAAGGAGAACTACAGCATCTGGGTAAGGTAAGCAGAAACCAAACAAAAACCAATGGGACCAGGAAAGGATACTCACTATATAATGGATGAATGGACTGAAGTTTGAGTCCTGAGATGTTCGGCTACACACTGTGACCAGTAGGAACAGACAGTGGAGACCTGCAGTAATCAGGGACGGCATTTTGTCCAGTGGCTTTGCTGTACAGCCTGGAAGGAAAATGAAGCAAAACCGGACTTTTCAGCTGACTCACACAGTAGGAAATAGCAGCGCACTCTACGAAAACAGTTTGTTCAGGCTTTATGAGCACACTCTGCCTGTTCACCCCATCCAAAACAGAGCATGGAATAAGGACTCTAATTACTCCTCTGCCACTGGCACCAAGACCGTTTCTCCCGCATCTCCTTTTTTTTTTTTTTTACACAAAATGGAGGGAGAAAGCAACCACTTGGAGAAAGCACAGTCCTAGGCAGATTCCCAAGATGGACCAGTGAGCTGCTGGAAATTAACTTGCTGTAAGAAAAACTGACTTTGGATCTTCAAATATTCCTCACAATGGTCCTTGGCGAACGCACAGTCAAAAGATGAGGAAAAAGTTAGAAATGCTGCTATAAGTGAACGACTGTCCCATTGCAGCAGGAGAACTCTGCTACTGGCCACGTCCCACCCTGGAGAGGGCTGTGGTAACATCACAGGCTCAGCTAGAGATCTCTGTCTCTTTGATATCCCTTGGCTAACAAAGGGAACAATGAAGACTAATATCTTCTGGAAAAAACACTTGCAATTTTGAGGTTTTAATATACATCTCCATTAATCACACCGGCGTTAGCAAGTAAATAAACTAGAACACAAGAATAATGACACATTGGAATATAATGTGGTGCCTAAAATCAAACCCCAAGCTTTTCTAGCTCATTAATACCTAAGCTAATTTACTCACATAGTAGATTTGGTGATGAAACAGAAAGGGAGGGAAACACATTCATGGACCCTTATTGCAGGTGTTGACACATTTTATGCAACCAGAAGGAATAGAGAAAGGGAGCTGAAGAACGCATACAAATATGTATCTTGGTATGTAAATGAACTTTCTGATTGTTCCTAACAAAGCACTTCCCCAGCTCCCGAATTACTAACTAGCAGGGAGTTACAGAAAAAGGCAGAACCCAAGAAGATTGTGGAAATCATTTTAAGAGAGGGAAGCACTGAGACTCTTCAGAATAGTACTGAACAGTATCTGAGTGGATAACATCAGCTGGATCAAAATCATGAGCTTTTGTAAAATCATGATTTTTTTTATTGAAAAAGCTGTTCATACAAACCATCTTGGACCTCAGGCTTTGAAAGTCTGTGAATCATCACATAAAAGTAGAAAAATCAGCACCTCCTGACATGATAATGAACATTGGCAGCCTATTGCCACCACATTGCGTATCAGAGCTAACGCTCCCCAGTCAACAGGGTGCTTCACTGTGATGTTCCTGCTCAGAACTGCCCATGACAGAAAACTGTAATATTAACATGATCTGTGGTCTCACCTCGAGAATGGACAGAGGACAGCAATGGGCTTATAGCCAGACAATATACTTGATGTCACCAGCGTGAGTATCCAGCAAGGATTGGTCAGGGTTTCTCACCAAAGGCAGCTCTTAGACTGATCTGCAGTGAGAATTCACCTGGACACTGACCTGATTAAAAGCTGGGAGACAAAAAGAGGAAGAAACTGTCTGTATTTCCAAGAGGGATGTCATCACCAGAGCTCCGTGGGAAAGTGTGTGTAAGCCTGTGTCTTACTCTCTGTTCTCAAGAAATGTGGAAAAGACAGTGATTAGTGACACAACACTTTGGAAAACTTTAAGCAATTGAGACTAACAAAAGCAAAGTCCACCTGTGAACATCTGTGTGGGGGCTGCAGGATGCTGAGTGACTGGCTCGTGAAATTAATAACGTTCAGCATTGATAAACGTAACATCGAAAGAAACAATCCTGACATTATGTATTCTGTGATGGACTTTGATTTGATTACTATCACCACACAGAAATGGGGTCCAAAGAAATGTCAACTGAATTCTGAGGAGCAATTAAAAACCAGAAATTAATTTTAGGATACTCTAGGGTAGCAATAGAGGAGAAAAAAAAAACACAAAAAAACACAGAACTGTACTGTCTAGACATCTGAGCTGACTCAGCATGACTGCTCTTATGATCTTATCCAGGAATAACCAGAAAGCAAGACATCTCACTGATTAATATCTTTCCACCCCACCCTAAAATCCGTTTAAAAAACAGACTGTCAAAAGATTTTTTTTGTCCAATAGATGAATGGCTGGCAGAATTGAAAAAAAAAGTTGGAAATGGAAGTGTCTTTTTATTTTCCTGGGCAGGTCCATCAATATATCCAGCATTCTACAAAAGAGATTATTTTGCTATTTTGAATACACCATCCACTTGTCTAAACCTCAAGATTTTTATGGATCAAAATGGATGAAGAGGAAAATATTGCCAAGTTATAATCTGAAACACAAGTCTTTAAGAGAGTGACACGACTAATAAATCAAAGATTTCTGATAGTTTTGTATATGCAGCATATGTTCACAGCGTGTGGTGTGATAGCTTAGTCTGTACAAAGAAACTATATTTAATTGATAATGGGTTGATAAAATAGATAATAATAAGGAAAAAAAAGTCAGAAAATAAAATTTATGATGAGGTTAAACAGCACCTGATACAGTTTTGCAAGTATTTTTTGCACTGTTCACAGTCATCATTCATATTCAAATTTGTGGGTCGGCTTCTATTTTCAAGTACATCCTCTGTGCAATCACATAGCTGAGACTAAGTGTCCTCTTAATTGTACACTTAAGAAACCGTACAGAGGACAATTCATATAAATGAGAGAACTGTGCTGCTGCTTAGGCTTTGATAGCTCTTTAAAAGCCAAAAATTCCAAAAACAGTACCTAGAAAGCCATAAAACTTACAAACAAATATCAAATTGCAAACAGGGGAAAATATTAATCTTCTCAAGTAATGTGGCTGTCCAGTTGTTCTTTTAATTTCTCATTGAAAAAATAATTGTTTTAAATTTTTGAGTGAGCGATTTCTCAAATATCTATCTACATTCAACTGGTAAAAAAGAATACAAGTGAACAAATTCACAACTTCTCATATAAACTCTCTCCTGTGAGGCAATGAGTATCTTCAACTTATTAAGACCCAGAGAGCTAAAAAAGCCCAGGTTTGCTACCAAATCTCTTCTCCTCTATAGCATTCAGGCTGAATGATGTTGTTTAAAATTAAGTCTAAAATGCAGAATTTTCCTATAGGTAAATAGCAAAATCTCACTTTAACACAGGACATAGGATTAAGGGTTTTTTTAATTAAGTTTTCTCCAAGTTTCTCTTTTATATAAATGTTGCAAAATAATTACACCCTCTCTTGCAAATCCACCCAGCACAATAGTCACCATTGCACGTTTTAAAAAATAAAGAACACACCCAGATATATAATAAAGTTTACCTTCTCAGGTGATTCAAAGAGATCTTCTGATTAGATCCATCTCAAACATCGTCTGCTTTCTACTACAGCTCAGGTTGCTCCTTCAAAGGGAAGCCAAGGCTCAGAACTTGTATAATTAGCTGAATATGCTATTATTGCCTAGAAAACAAGTCACCTCCAGAGGCTGCACTCAATTTTCAGGCATGTGACTGACCAGAGGTGCCACTGCAGAGAACCCACAAGGCATTTTTTGAGGAGATATTTCCTGATACCATTCACCAGGTAGCACTCATTATTTCTCCCTGCACTGATCTAAGTCCTTCAGTCTCTTATCTGCAGATTAGTTTGTCAAGTGGAACAACTTGTTTTACTGCTTTGTTTTCACTCATTTGATTTGTTCTAACAGAAGAGGGTGTTGAGAGTCAAAAGCAGCAAAATCACGTTTTGTAGCTACGGCAAAATTTCTGTGCGTTTTGATTTAAATGATAAGGAAGGAAAACTCTAAATTTTTCCTACCCAAGGTTGCAGCACATCCTCTGTGGGGTGAACCCGGTGTTGGCACCCTCAGAGAAGCTGCAGACCTAAGGCTCCGATGACTGCTGGGGAAGCTGGGGAAGAGCAGGGAATTCCCAGAAGTCAGGTGAAACTCTGACGTGTTATGTATGTTCCTGTTTTGAACACAACCTGGAGCCAGGAATCCTCTACACAAACAGAGGACATCTGTCCAGATGACAGTGGGCCTCTTGTCCCTAGAATGTTCAAACAGTTTATTAACAGAATTTGTTTTCACGGCAAGGTGTGTGAGGCAGCGGCTCCCTGCAGTCATACAGAATCTGTGGAAGAGCCAGGGATTAAATTCGTGTTGTGGCGGATTATTTTTTAAACAGTGATTCGTTCAGGTGGTAGGTCCATGGAAAGAGTTTCTATTCTCCTACAGATGGGAAGTGCTCTCTGTGGCGATCATCTCATGGGAGATGATAGGCTCATGGGGTACATCAGTGTGCCCCAGGATCTTCAGATCCACCATGAAGCATCTGAAGATCGCATGGGACACACCAGAGAATACCAGAAGGGCACATGTCTCCAAGGCAGACAATTGGATCAGATTGTAAAGGCCACTCATTGTCACAGCACAGAAGGAAAATTGAGGCAAAAGAAGTCAATAAGATGACATGCCTTTCCCACTTTGACCCTACTTCCCAAATTAAGGGGTTGCGGCATTGAGGCTGGTCCAGCAGTTACAAAAGGGACATGCTGCCCGCTGACATCAGCTGTTTCAGGGGAAGAGGAGGGATGGCTGCCACAGCAACACTGGGCACAGTTTGGTTTACCCTTGGTGTTAACTGTCTAGGGTAGTAGTGGTTTATTTTCTGTAACAGGGAGCTTGGACCAGGTCTTCAATCCTCTGTCAGCAATCTGTGCTGAGTGTGCTGCGGCTCCTCACAATGTGGCGAGTCAGCCCTCAGCCTGTCACTCTGCAGCACTTTTAAGGTAATTAAGTTGGAGTGGCTGATGCCTTTGTTGCCCTTAAAGCTTGTCCCCACTGTTGCAGTGGCACTGGTCTAGTCCAGGAACCTGAACAAGCAGAAAACTGAGGCTACATCTACAGCACTAAATGCAACCACTTCTCTCTCTCCAGGCAGGTTTTACTGCTTGCCTTGTGGCTGATGGCCTCCAGACCCCTCT